CGCTCTTCCCCGTTCTTTCTACAGGAGTTCAGGAGTGAAATATAACCGGATGTGGTATGCCGCTCTGGCCCTGGTCACTCTGGTGTTGTTTACCATCTCAGTTGGAGCCATGGTCTTTATGGCTGTCTACTACACCCACCCAACAGCCTGTTTATTAAACAAATTCTTCCTGGGCATCAATTCCACCCTCTGCTTCTTCGTCTCCCTGCTGGCTATTTCTCCATTCATACAAAAGTGTAAGAACCGAAAGCACTTGATCGCGGTTGGCTGCGTTATGCAAATTAGAACTTTGCATGACAGGTGTATTGAAAATCACCTCACATTACCACAGAGAGAAATTCACAGTAAAAGGAAACGGTTAATTGACACCATTCTCTTTAATAACTTTTCAAAATCGGTACTTTTGTCTAACTTTGTCAATGTCATCTTTGTGTCCCTACAGTACAGCCCACATCAGGCCTGTTGCAGCCGGGTGTCATCAGTGTCTACGTCATGTACCTGACGTTCTCAGCCTTTTCAAGTAAACCGAAGGAATGTAAGAGAGATCAGAGAAAGCACCAAAACCTAGATATCCCAGTCCTTAAACATGTAGCTTTGGTTCATACTTGTGTTTAACCATAAGTTGATGATTTTATGTTTTAGTTGAGGGTACAACCAAGGTCGTCTTTGATTTTTGAAATCACTGACTCGGGCAAACTAACTTGTGTTTTTTTTCTTTTTTTGTTCTTTACTTTAAATCCAGTTTTAGAAGTCAATGGTGTGAACACCACTGTGTGTGTGTTTCCCTTTGAGCCTGGTTCTGAGAGCGACAGAAAGATTGTCACTGCTATGGGAGCAGTGATCCTCTTTGGATGTGTCCTGTACTCATGGTAAGACAAACACACACATATATACATAAACACATGTACATAAACAGTCTTTACACATTCCAGCCAAGCTTCTCTGTAGAACATAAATCTATAGCATCTGAGATCATAAACCCACCAAAATCACAAATAGTTAACAGCCATGATTTTGTAGCCGTCATGGAATGCATGTAATGACAGTAGTGTAGTGGCAGACACAGGGCAGCTTTGATTGGCTGTGGCCACGATGGAGGCAGAGTATGATTGGCTGTGGCCGAACTGAACCTGTGAGACACAGTAACTATGGCTTGTTTTGCTTGTTCACATGTGTTTCCCATCAAGCTGAGGCTTCGTGTCTCTTGCGGTTATTTCTGAAGGAAAGAGGAATTTTTACATTAGTGGAATGAAAATGCATACTTATGGAATAACAACCCTCATCTTCCCGTCAGCCATCTTTATGCCTCTAACTTTGTTTGTCTATTTTCCATGCTCCCTTCTTCCTCTTTAGCCTGACATCCACCACCAGACGAAGCTCTGCAGCTCTCAGAGTAGTCCGCAACAGTGAGCCAGAGACTGAGGTAAATGGGTTAATGGAATTTACAGACTCTTGCAGTCTTAATTTGAAATCTGCATTTTAAAAGATATGAATATAAAAACACAAGGCCACAGAGAAATACAGATAAAAATATTGTATTAATTGTATGTGCGCCTCATTAATACTTTACCACTGCACAATGGTAACCTTTATTGATTTATTTCTGTCTCAACCTTGCAGAGAGCTCGTTGCTGTTTCTGTTTTGGAGACGACACAGGTCAGTGAAGTTAGATAATTCACAAATATGTCTTCAGCAGCCCCCACCATGTCTGTTTACACGCATACACAGACAAAAACACACAGACGCAGGGCTGTGCTGTTTTGCTACTCCGCAGCCTGACAGAAGATGGTGAAACAGTATTGGTGAGCAAACACAGATGATGTCACTGTTACTAGGAGGTTAGTGTGAAATGGTAAAACTGGCCCAGTGAGGAGGTGCAATTGTGGCTGGGTTTACACCGCCACCTGCTGGAAAAAACATTATAGCCTTGTGCAGTATAAACATGTACATCTTTTTTCGCACTCTCTCCCCACTATTTTCTTCTGCGAATTTATATTGTCTAATATTGATCTAATAGAAACCAGGAAACCACAAATCTTAAATTTTACAAAAGCTGTTGTTTTCTGAACATCACATGTATTTCAGATTAAAAAGAAAACTTCTACTGGAAGTGTATGATTTTGTTTTATATTCATTCAACTCTAAATGTTATTCCTGTTTGCAGATGATGGCGATGAAGAAACCACCGGAACAGGCCAGAACGTCGTGTACGACGAGAGAGAAGCCACAGTATACGGCTATTCCTACTTCCACTTCGTCTTCTTCCTGGGATCTCTTTATGTCATGATGACTGTCACCAACTGGTTTCAGTAAGAGTTCACTTTATTTATTTAAATAAATTTATTTAAGTTTAATATTAAAAATAATTATAACATACTGTATATAAATTATTTGTAACAATGAACAGACATGCAACTTGAAATACTTGAAGAATTAGGCCTGGGATATTTAGATTTTGAATCTGATTATTCATATGCTAACTGTGATGATGCTCTATGATCATGATTAATCTACATATGAAAAAAATGTATATTGTTTGAACATAAAAGACAAATAACAGCAGGTAAATGTGTGTTTCACTCCTGTTTTTACTTATCACTAATCCAAATGGAATTTCTAAAATATGGAAAAATGTCCAGAACTGTAGTAGTGGAGTGCCTTTAGTCATCACTCTGCATTTTGCCAGTTGTTTGTAGAACATGCAGAGGTTTGTGTCCACAACTTTGCTGGAGCATTCTGTTCGTAACTTTATTTTGCTGCCTTTTGAATCCAGTTTTTATTATTGCTTTCATTAATTTATAGCTGTTGAGGTGAAATTCAAAACCAAGATTTCCGTCTTTCTCTCCGCTCACCTCTCTCTTACTCTCTACATTTGTAGTTACAGTGACCATAAGATTGAGAAGCTGCTGGATGGAAGCTGGTCGGTGTTCTGGATCAAGATGGTCTCCTGTTGGGTCTGTCTCATCTTCTACCTTGCCACCCTTGTAGCTCCAATGATGTGTCCAAAACGTTTTGAAGCCTAAGCTGCACGTCGGTATTGGCTGCTCAAATACTTGTGAGATGTCTAGGCAGTAGCTGTCAGGCTGAGCCACGGGACCACTACTATGATTCCACCGAAACTCAATCCTGAACACGAAGGATTTCTGTTGCCTTTGGGCTTTTTTATATGCTAGTGTTTTATTTTGCTTTTGTTTTTACTCGATGCTATTGATGATATCAAGCTGTTAATACCTTGACGGTAATTTCTTTTTATTCTTAACTAAAAGTGAATTTTAGAGTTTTATACGACCCACCATTTTGAAATTACAGGTAATTTTTTGATCCCCCCCTCTCCCCCCAATCATTTTACGTATTGTTTACGCAGTGTGTGTTGTTTTTCTTAAAAATTTGTATATATATTCGTGTTAATTGGTGGGATGGTTGTTTCACTTTGCCGTTAAAATTCCCACATAAGAGATCTGATGTGGATTAGATGAGATTAGGGCCCAGCTCTGTTTGAAAGTTGATTTCTCAGGCTCACATTTAAGCTGTTTAGTACACATTGGTGTTGTGTTACATCACTCGCTTTTGTAGAATTTTTCTATGCAACAAAACAGGCTTTTTTTCCCCAATAATAGTACCACGTGATGTGAAGTTATTAATCTTCTTAGATGAACAAGTTTTACAGATTTGTGGTCCATGAGATGAGTCTTTTTTTATGAAAAACACATTATATGTACAACGTCTCCAAGAGCTGCAGTGACTCAGACCAGAAGCATTAGCCAATGGTAGATGTCAGAAATCATCCAACATGTCAGTCACATGATTCCGTCTCTTAGACAGACACATGTACAGTATCTGTTACATATGTTCATGCACGTTCACACACCATGCACTCATGACACAACTTTGCCTTTTTTCTTGTTTTTTTTCATTGCTTTTACAGTGCGTATGTAGTGGAGGTTGAAATCATTGGTGTGATGTTCAACACTGGATGTTGACCAATCTAAAATCCACAAGACATTTCACAGTTTACCAACTAATTTTTGTACTGTAAAAACATATATATATATTAATATATGTATATATATATATATAGTCCATTCACATCTCACACCATATGAATCAACCAGTCAGTTCTACGTGTTCTCACTGTAATTTTTGTTTTTATAATAACCTGTACAATTGGCTTCTAGTTCTATTATCTGTGGTAAATTTTCAACCTAATTTACTCAACTGTCAACTGCCATTTTCCTTCAGTATTTCAATGTTTAATTGTGGATATTAATGTAAAGAATGAAGTAATGCTTACTGCAGCTTTGTTACCAAAACAATACAGAAGTCAAACAGCAGAACACTCAGTTCAATAAACCATCAGCTGAACACAGTGTGGTTTTAAAAAGCTTTATTTAACATAAATGACGGGAACCCGGAAAAGGTTTTTGCTGACAAGTTAATTCTGTTTGGTAGGTAAACAAACACACTTGTTTAAATAGTGGTAAAGTATGGCTGAAAAAGGCTTCAGCTGGGGTGCTTTTTTCTTGAGCTCTATGGATTAAAAAAAAAACAAAAAACTGAACTACCAGTTGAGCAGTGTTAATTTGTTGACTTGGAATTTACTTATTGTCAATGTCTATTATAAAAGACCAGTTGAGATATAAATAGTTAAGTACATTTGAAAAACATAAAAAACATTACACAAAGCACTTTA